CTGTTTAAACAAATTCTCATTTATATTTAACTGCACTTCTTTTTACACATTCCAGTGCATATGTATTAATTTGTAAAGACAAATTTAAAATGCACATTTAATCAATATATTTAGTTAGAGCTCTCCATAATATACTAAAAAATGTCAGTTTATCAATAATGTGAATAAATATGTCAGGACTGTTAGGAATGTAAGTCTCCTAACAGTTATTTGGGTTGGAAATATATAAATGAGGATAGACATTATCTTTAAGAGCATGCTAAAACTGTAACTGGGTGTGGTTCCGAAAATGGCCATAAGATAGAGCCAGAAACCTGGGTTGTTTAGAGTGCCTCAATGAATTTTTGTTTCCTTCTGTTGGAGAGATTATTGCCAATCCTTCTAGTGACTGTTACTGATCATTGATGTAAGTCTGTTACTGAACTGTTTGTTGATACTGGACTTTGATATTTGGATTATCCGTGGACTGGACACTGACTGATTTACCCGTGAATGATTTGAATTGCTTATCTTGGACTTTTCTTAACCATTTACTGGAAGTAAAAACCTACATTTTACTATACAGTGTATCTGTGGGCTGGTTGTGTGTTATTCTTTACCACTCTCACTACATCTCCCTGTATGTGCTCCTTCTCCTAATGGGAAATTACCTCAACACTGGTTATTGGCCCAGGCCATACCAAGCCCAGATAACTGAGAGTTGGTGTGAATGCACAGTACTGTATACAGACAGCTGTTTACTGTTTAATTGTGGGTTACTATCCTGGTAAAAGATGGTACAAGACACTTCAACAAGTCTATCACTGATAATCCGGTTGGATGGAACAAACTATGTTTCCTGGTCTATGAAGTGCAGTCCACTTCTGCATAGAGAAGGGTTATGTACTGTAGTTCAAGATCCACCAAATGGAAATGCTTGGGATCCAGAAAATGAGGACAATGCCAAGAAGCTTGCTGACTTTAAATTGAACAACGAATGAGCTCTTTGTATAACTGGTCTAACACTGAGTGACCAGCATCTAGTCCATATTCGTGGACAAGAGTCTGCTGCTATGTGTTGGTTGAATTTGAAGAGGATTTATGTTTGTGACAGTGTAGGTGCACACATACATCTTACATGTAAACTGTTTAGAGCACATCTTCTGAAAGGTGGAGATATGTTAGCTCATTTAAACTCCATGAAAATAACTTTTCAAGAGCTACATGAAAAAGAACTAATATTTTAAGAGCTGCATCAAGTTTATATCATTCTTTCCTCATTGGATGAAAGTTATGATGATTATGTATCTTCACTGGAAGTCCTGCCCAGAGATAAACTGACATTGACTGACATAACTGGAAGATTGTTAAAAGAAGCAAGAAGATGGCTGGATAGGGACCAACTGAGGAAGGAACAACCACAAGAAGAGAATTTGTCTTCAACTGCCTATACTGTTAGGAAATGTTTTTCTTGTGGGGCTAGAGGTCATATAGCTAGATTGTGTAAGAAGGGAAAACAACAGAATACTGGTAATCACCAGAAGGCAAAGAAGAATGTTAGTTTAGCTATGTTTAGCAATTCAACGGTAAACCATGATTTGTGAGTTGTTGATAATGAAGCATCGCAATGCATTACTAAAAAAAATAGAGAGAAGTTTGTAAAGATATCCACAAATAAGCAACATGTATCATTGGCAAGTGGTTGGAAGATGAAAGCATCTGGTGAAGGTACTGCATATTGTTCATGTGTAAATGAGCATTTAACCATGTTTTATGTACCTAAACTGAAATTTAATTTGTTATCAGTAAGGGCTTTAGTTAATATTGGTTATGTAGTAACCTTTAGGGGAGATAACTGAATAATAGAGAAAGAGGATGAAAGTGTTACTATTAATTTAGAGAATGATTTATATGTGATACATGATGATCAGCTGAAGATGGCTAACTCAGTTTATAATAATGTTAAGCCACATGATGAATATATATGCTTACTGCATAGACGCCTGGGGCACATTAATTGCAAAATGCTCAAAGAAACTGTTAAATTGGCAGAGGGAGTAAAATTGAAACTCTGTACCAAGTATTTAAACTGTAATGCTTGTAGCCAGGATAAAAGCAAGGTTACTCCAGCAAACAGACTTAAAGGTTTTAAGACCAAAGAACCTTTAGAGGTTGTGTTTGCTGACATAATTGATCCTAAGAAACCTAGTTTAGGAGGTGCCTGGTGTATTTTGAGTACAATGGACCATTACTCACGATACGGTTTCTGCTACCTCATGAAAAACAAAACAGAAACATCCCAACATTTCTTTAACTGGCTAAGGTTTGCTGAGAAGAAAATGAGGAGTAAAGTAACTACTTTAGTTACTGATAATGGGACTGAGTTTGTTAACAAAAGATTCCAAACTATGTTGAACCTGGCTGGTGTTGAGCATAAATGTTCTGCACCTTACAGACCACAACATAACTGTCTTAAGCTTATATATCCATTTACACACTATGGCATGTTTACCTGGTGGTAAACTTAACATTTTCATATACCTCCAACTTTTTTAATGATTACAGTTCCTCATCCATTGCTTTCTGCCAGCAGTCTGATCCTTAGCAGAAAACAGGTTTAGTTCACTATAGTTACTTGGAACTGTATTCACTTGGCATACAGCACTAGCCTGATATCTATCAGGTGGTCATGTTACTCGGGTTGAACGTCTTGGTAATACAGAGCTTAATTGTGGACTTTCCTGTTCCACCTGCTCCTGTTTTTCTCTCTCCTCCTGTGCCTGTTCTCCTACTTCCTCCTTTGCTTCCTCTTTAATGGCTATTCATGGTTTACTTATTTTATCTTTAGGGACTATTTGGATGTCAATAATAATATCATTGCTGGATTCCTGTTCCAGTTTATCCCATCCAACTTGCTCAAGAAATTTTACACTAGCACTACAATGAACACGAGCTATGCCTGGATCCCAAAATCTAAGCTATCTATGATTGGCCTCATAACCTACAAAAAACAACTTCTTAGCTCTATGTTGCCCTTTCAGTCTTTTAAGGGAATATGCACCCATGCTGGAGCTCCAAATGTGTGTAGATAACTTAAATTTGGTTTTCTGCCATGCCAATGAGTGAATGGCAATTCACCAGTTGTTGTGTTAACTACATTGTTTAAAACATGATTACTACACATTATGGTTTCATCCCACAGTGTTTGAGGCAAACATGAATTAGATAACATAGTGTGAGCCATGGCTTGTAAAGTTTGTCCTCTTTGTTCTACAAACGAGTTATGTTGTGGTCTGTAAGGTGCAGAACATTTATGCTCAACACCAGCCAGGTTCAACATAGTTTGGAATCTTTTGTTAACAAACTCAGTCCCATTATCAGTAACTAAAGTAGTTACTTTACTCCTCATTTTCTTCTCAGCAAACCTTAGCCAGTTAAAGAAATGTTGGGATGTTTCTGTTTTGTTTTTCATGAGGTAGCAGAAACCGTATCGTGAGTAATGGTCCATTATACTCAAAATACAGCAGGCACCTCCTAAACTGTTTCCTACTACTGAGCTGCTGAATGTTGAAGGAAGAAAGGAGGTTTGACTTCTTCATATCTCTACTGCGAGAAGATATATTACTGGACTGATATTTGTAAGTTTACTGTCCTCTTTTTTGACACTGGACATTGCATCTGATTAATCCCTAGACGGACTGAATTAGTGAATGATATATGGACTGTTTTTGACTATGCTAAAACTCTTACTGGAATAAACTATTTAACTAGCCCAGTGTATCTGTTTTACTGAGTGTAAGCTACAAAAACGTTTATCTCACATATTTTGCCTGCCTGCCTGACTGCCATGCAGATTCTGCTAGGGTGTATCCCTAACAATCGGGTACTGTAGTATTATTGGGAAAATGTTAATTGGATAGAGGTCTATAAGACAGAAACATCTAAGTTTGTTAACAATGGAAGCTGAATTTTCATGTTTATCTTTATTATATACAGATTTAGTTTGTTATAAACAATTACTAATTGACATGGGAATTGATGTAACAGATTCTATTGTTGTTTATGAAGATAACCAATCAGCAATATAGATTGCTCCAAATATTGCTGTTAAAACAAGATCGAAACACACAGATTTTAGATATTTAAATGTGAGACAATGTGTGCAAAGTAAAATGATTAAGCTGGAATACTGTATGTCAGAAAACAATATAGCAGATTATTTTACAAAGGCCGAAGGCTCTATAAATTATAAGGCTTTCTTCAAGGATTATGGACTTAGAATGTAAGACTGTATATATTGTCCTACCCAAAAGGGGAGAATGTTAGGAATGTAAATCACCTAACAGTTATTTGGGTTGGAAATATATAAACGAGGATAGACATTTTAATACTGTACCTTTAAGAGCATGCTAAAACTGTAATTGGGTGTGGTTCTGAAAATGGCCATAAAATGGAGCCAGAAATCTGGGTTGTTTGGAGTGCCTCAGTGAATCTCTCTTTTCTTTGGTTGGAGAGTATTGCCGTTCCTTCTAATGACTGTTACTGATCGTAGATGTAAGTTTGTTACTGAACTGTGTTTTGATACTGGACTTTGATATCTGGATTAACGTTGGACTGGACACTGACTGATTTGAACTGCTGAGTGACTTGGACTGGTTATCTTGGACTTTGCTTAAATGTTTATTGGAAGTAAAAACCTTCATTTACTGTAAAGGGTATCTGTGTGCTGTTTGTGTGTTGTTCTTCAACACTCTCACTACGTCTCCCTGTATGCGCTCATTCTCCTCATGGGGAATTACCTCAACAAATACATCACATTCTGCTGTAATTTATATTTTTATAGACCCCAGTTATATTTGCCTTCCAGATGGTAAAAAACACTTCCAAGCTATCCAAATCTCAGGAGACAGGAAAACACAGAACATCATTGCCTCTGTATATTGTTCTCCAACTTAAATGTCAAAGTGGGGAAGTTCTCCAACATGTACATATAAACAATATCAGACAAACATAAAGATTTCTTAAAACTTTCTCTTTATGAGTTGATGTTTATCATTCAGTTCAGGTCTGATTACAATGATAAAACACTTGGGAAGAAAGATGCACATTAATAATCCAGCACTGGAGGAGATCATGGAGAAGATCTCTACTGCCAATGTATATTTTCCCCTTGTGCTTAAATAGGTTGGAATAAAGCACAGCCAAACACTGCAGAAGACCAACATGCTGAAGGTGATGAATTTGGCTTCGTTGAAACTGTCAGGTAAATTCCTAGCTAGAAAAGCAGCAGAAAAGCTAATCAGAGCAAGAAAACCCATAAAGCCCAAAACACAGTAGAACATGACTGAGTCTTCATTGCACTCCAGGATGACTTCTTCAGACATTGAAAGCACATCAAAATCTGGATACGGTGGGGATGTTATCAGCCACACAGCACAAAAACTTAATTGAACAAGGGAACAGGATAGTAGAATGAAACCGACCATCCTTCTCCCCACCCATTTCCTCAATCTGGAACCAGGTTTGGTGGCCATGAATGCTAGAACCACAACAAAGGTTTTGGCCAATACACAAGAAACTGCCACAGAAAAGATGAGACCAAAAGCTGGTTGTCGAAGGAGACACACAATCGTATTGGGCCTCCCAACAAATAGAAAGTCACAAAGGAAGGAGATGAGAAGAGAAACTAGAAGTGCATAAGTGAGATTCCGGTTGTTGGCTTTGACGATGGGAGTATCTTTGTGTTTCATGAAGATTGTGATTACCAAAATGGTTATTAAAGAAAAGCACATAGACAGAACAGTCAAACTGATCCCCAAGGGTTCTTCATAGGACAAAAATGTGATCCGCTTTGGAATGCATGTATTTTTTGTGGGATTTGGATATTGATCTTCTGGACAAGGAGAGCAGTCATCTATGTCTGAAAAAGAATGCAGGTGAATTAATTAATAGAAATTATAGTGTTGTGTCATCATGGTTTAGTCCCATTATATTTGGGGATTTCCTACCCTTCTCCTTTGATATTTTCCCCTCTGGACATACATGGCAATCATAGCAACAAAACAACTGCCCTTCTTTCTTGACCTTGCTGTATCCTGTCTCACAAGGATCATTACACAAAGATAGAGGTAATGCCTGTCAATAAAAAATATTTTAAGATACAGAGAGAAAAGGATGTAATAAGAGAGTTACTGCAGAATTAACAGATTAAAAATATAGATTACATAATTTTAGATGCAATTTTTGAGAAATAATAAATTAAATATTTACAATTATTGTATTTAAGGCCTGTGATAAATATCATCACCACTCTTGAAAGACAATTTCTGTGCTGGTTAGTTAAAGTTGGTTTTCTCAACTTCTGAATTTTGAAGTCAGCAGACTAATGAAATCTAACAGCATTTACTTCAAAACCATAACAACCATTTTTCATAATTAATAGAGGACCCATAAATGATACAGTATTCAATAGCAATTGCTAAAAAAAGTAAATAAATCTTACTGGTATCTTTCCTTTTCCAGGAAATTTCTACCTATATTGGTTAAAGATGATGCTCTGGGACTTCCATCAATAACAATATTTAAATGAAGGCAAACAAATATAGATTCAAAACACTAACCTGATTAAAACCTACTGGCCATGTGATGGAATCTATAGAAATATTGAAGAACTTGTCTGCTGGACCTTTGGGATCTATCACTCCAACTTTGACCCTAAGAAATGACTGGTTCGGGAATGTGATCCAGTTGATAATATCAAATCCACCAATGAATTCTCCATTTTCATCGAAGGAGATCTTTTCACCAACACTATTGTTGAATCTGATACTTCTCAGAAAAGAATGAAGCTGAAACATAGAGACAATCAGAGAGGAACAAATCAAGGGAGAGAGAAATAATTCATATATTCAAAACATACAAATTAATGTTTCTGAAAACCAAGAAAATATAAACACTTATTTTAGTTGTAGGCCAGTATCAAAGAAATAACATGACAATCATTCTAACAAAGAGGTAGAGATTATATATCAGATTACTGAAATAACATTAATATAAAATTGCAAAATAAAGAAGCAGCAAAAAAATAAAATTAAGCTCTGCAGTTTAATTGAGAAAGCTATTCAGATCACTTCTAATAAATATATAATAAATGCTAGGATGTATAAAACTACCACATAATTGTGCTAATTTTACTCACTAGCAAGATGATACCCAAAATACTACAAACTAGGCATTAGCAGTAAGTGAAGTGACAACTTCCAGCAGTACAAATTGTGTTTTGAAGAGTAGATTTGAACTGTAGATCAAATTGCCAACATTTCCTGGATTATGGAAAAATCAAGGGAGTTACAGAAAAAAACATCTACTTTTATTTCATTGACTATGCTAAAGCCTTTGATTATGTGCATCACAACAATCTGTGGTGAGTTCTTAAAGAGTTGGGAGTTCCCAACCACCATTAGAAAGCTAAATCAGCTCTGTGTGATTCAGCTTGGTACCTCACAGACTTCCTGCCAGCAAAGGCTGGAAGAGGGGGGATGAAAGAAGCTGTGTGTGTATGTGATGGGAAATCAGAAAAGGGAATGACAGGTGATAAAGACCAGAGCAGCCAAATCCTGTTTGTACCAACATCCCAAGGCCAAACAACCAGAGAAAAAGCAGATTACTCCCAAACATCTCAGTTTTCTCAAAACATCTTGGTGAGCTTTGGTTGGCTGGAAACAGACTGGTCATGGAGGTGGGGAAAGAATGAATTATCAATGAACCTTGTTAGAGTGGGAGAATTCAGAGCTGGGTGACATTACTGCAACCAACAATTTTAGTAGAAGAATTCTTTGCTTTAACCAAATGGAGTTGAGGTTCTTCCTTTTCTAAAGGATCAGATTGGGGCAGGCCTTACACCTTAACGTGGGCCAAGAAGCAACAGAACCGGATATGGAAAAACTGATTGGTTCAAAATATGGTAATAAGTACAACAAGGTTATATATTATTACCTTGCTTATTTCAATTATATGCAAATTACATCATGTGAAATGCCTGGCTGCATGAATCAAAGCCAGAATTAGTATTGCTGAGGGAAGTATCAACAGCCTCATATATGCAGACAATATCACTCTCATGGCAAAAATTGAAAAGGATCTAAAGAGTCTCTTGGTGAGTTCAAAAAGAAGAGTGCAAAAGTTGGCTTGAAATGCAATATTAAAAATAAATAAGATTATGGCATCTGGTCCTATCACTTCATAGCAAATACAAGTGGAAAAAATGGAACCAGCAACAAATTTTATTTTCATGGCTCCAAGATCTGACGCTGCAGACGCTGATTGATTTGATTTAAAAGAATCTTGCTGCTTTGGATGAAACTATGATAAACTTAGACAGCATATTAAAAAGCAGAGACATCATCTTGTCAACAAAGGCTCATATAGCTATGGTTTTCCCAGTAGAAATGTACAATTGTGAGATTTAATCTATAAGGAAGGCTGAGCAATTAAGAATGTACGCTTTCAATTTGTGGTGATGGAGAAGAATTTTTAGAGTTCCTTGGAGTACAAAGAGGTGAAATCAGTCAATCCAGCTAAGCAGAGTGCCCAACATCAGCATATCATACCTGAAAACCCTAGCAGTGGCCAGGCAACCAAGGGCCAAAAACACAGGGAATAAACGATAAGTACAAAACACTTGAGGAAAAAAGGAAGGCAGGGAGTAGATGGTTAAGAGCAAAGCATCTCCTAGAAAAAAGCTTGAGATTTCCAAAAAATGAGAGACGTACATATTATTTCATAAAGAGCCAAAAACTCTTGTAAATTCTTAAAATTTTAAAATTTTGAAATTTCTTTTTTAAAAGAAAAATCATTTTCCTATTTTTAAAATTTCTTTTTTCAATT